TACTAGAAAATCAGGCTTTACAATTGTATTTCACACTTCACCAGTTTGAAATCCAGCAGTTTATTTGCATTTTTAATACTTAACATTACTCTTTAAAAATGGAATGTGATTTTTCAAAACAATAGTACGTAGTTTGGTGAACACCCAGCAAAGAATTAGAACACCCAGAATTTCATGGGAGATTCTAAAATAACTTTAGCAATATAGAAACTTGGAAGAAAAATAAATTAAAAAAACTTGAAAAAAATGATGACTTTTATCTGAACTACCTTTGTAGGTTTTATAGACTTTAAGATTGTGTTTAAAAATTTTAGTATATGTGCAAACACATTAATATTCTGCACTTGACTAGTAGTCTTAAAAATTGACCATACAGTAATATTTGGTTAATGGCCAAATATATTTATTTTCTATTGCATTTCTAAAAACCTTTAATCTTATAACCTCATTAAATAACCTTTAAAACAAGCCCATCCTATGTTGGTACCGTCATTGTTCCTGTTTTAGAGAAAAGGGACACAAACGCCGACAGGAGTAAGAAGCTCCAGGCTCAGTGGGGGTACATGTTGACAGAGAAGAGACTGGAATTAGAATTCTGGTCTGTCAAAGCCATAGCCTTACACGTCTTACGCTGCCACATTCTTAAGAACATAGAATTTCAGTCAAATACTTTCAGCGATAATTTTAAAACTAAATATTATGAATATAATTCTCTTTTCTTATTAAATACTTTTATTGGGGACTCTTACATCTCTTATCAGAATCCATACTTTCATCCATTGTGTCAAGCACATTTGTACATATGTTGCCATCATCATTTTCAAAGCATTTTCTTTCTACTTGAACCCTGGATATCAGCTCCTCATTTTCCCCTTTCCTTCCCACCTTCATGAACCCTTGATAAGTTTTAGATTATTATTTTCAGATCTTACATTGTCTTCTGTCACTCTTCACCTTCTTTTCTGTTGTTTGTCCCTCTGGGAGGGGCTTACATGTCAATCCTTGTGATCGATTCCCCCTTTCTCCCCCCACCTTCCCCTTATCCTCCTGGTATTTCTATTCTCATTGATGGCCCTGAGGGGTTTTTCTCTCCGGGATTCCCTGTGTTGTGGGCTCTTATCTGTAGCAGCCTGCATGTTCTCATCTAATCCGATTTGGAAGGTAGAATTGAGGTCATGATAGTGGTGGGGAGGAAGCATTAAAGAACTAGAGGAAAGTTGTATGTTTCATCGGTGCTATACTGCATCCTGACTGCCTCATCTCTTCCTTGTGACCCTTCTGTAAGGGGATGTCCAATTGTCTACAGATGGGCTTTGGGTTTCCACTACTTGTCCCCCCCACCCCTCCATTCACATTGGTATGATTTTGTTTTGGGTCTTAGATGTCTGATACCTTATTCCATTGACACCTAATGATCACACAGGATAGTGTGCTCCTTCCTTTATTTTTAAACCTTTAATACCACAGATGATATATCTTTTGATAGTCGGGCACCGTCTGCTTTCTTCACCCCATTTGCCTATGCACCCATTTTATCTTTAGTGATCGTGTCGTGAAGGTGAGCATCACAGGATGCTGGATTATTAGAACAAAGTGTTCTTGTGTTGAGGGAATACTTGAGGCCCAATGTCTATCTGCTACCTTAATTCTTTACATAGATCTATATAAGTACATAGATCTATCTCTCTATAGTTATATATAAATATATTTACATATGTACATGCCTGTATTTAGACCTCTCTAAATATCCTTTGCCTTCTCGTTCTTTCCCGTTTCTTTTGATTTCCTCTTGTCCCACCATCATATTCGGCCTTCTTTCGGGCTTAGTAATTCCTCACTGTTACATTGCCCTTGATTAAGCCCCTCTAGGCATCCTATGCCCTTCTCTCCATTTATTTTAGTTCACTTGTTGTTCCCTTGTCCCTGGGCTGGTTGACCCCCTCACCATTCCTTTCTCCCATCTCCCCTTCTCATGTTTCTGCTGGAACCGTGGGTCCCGTTGTTTTTGTCTCCGAATTGTTTATCCTGCCTATCTTATATAGATAAACATGCAGAGACATTAATAAGGGCAAAAACCAGGCAAAGCCAAACAAAACAACAAAGGAAGACAAAACCAACAAACCCCCACCACCAACAAAACTCCCCAAATAACAACAAAAAGAAAGCCAGTGACAAAAAAGGAAAAGCCTATAAATAGTTCCAGGTCTGTTTTTTGACCTTTAGGAGTGTTTTCCAGTCTGATGGGGTGCCACACTCTGTCCCCAAAGTCTATTTTTGGTATTCCCCGGGGACTTCATTGCTTTCGCTCTCCTTGCTGTTCTGTTGCACGCCCTTAGTGTTTAATGTGATGGGGTCAGTTTGTCCCCCGTAGCGCTATGGTTCAGTGAGGGATGTCCTGTCTTGGGGTGGGGCCGGCCCTATGGTCCTCTCTGTGCGTTGTCTGCTCTGAGCAGGAATACCGTCCTCGGGGCTTGGTGGGCCAGGATGAGTTCCCTCCCTCTCCATCCCTCTTCGTTTCTCCTGTGTGCTCTGATCAGACTCGCCCCTCTCCTCAAGCTGTAGCTTCAGTGCTGTTCTCTGAAGTGCATTCTTCGGGGCGGGCTCCACATAGCTGGGATTGGGGCCAGCCCCATGAATAGAATTCTTAATGCTTATGGGATGTGTATAAGTTGTGTACAATTTAATTTAGAGGAAAATCAAGGATAAAGTATAACCCTTCTATAAATCAAACTCACTGCCATTGAGTCATTTCCAACTTACCACAAACCTATGCACTGCCCTTGTGGGTTTCTGAAATTCTCACTCCTGCAGAGTTTCGAACTGCTGACCTCATGGTTAGCAGCCCGCTATGATAGCATAATCCATCTATAGCGACGTAAAGAATAAGGAAGCGAAAAGGACTGTGCAGCTTCAAAGGACTTGAGGCATCTTGTTAAGGTCATTGTTAGAGGAATCAGAAAACTATATACTTGGCTAGTGGAAGGAATTGTTTTAGGGGAAGGAATTTTTTGGAAAATGAGAGACAGGTTTTATTGAGCGCTCATTTTATTCCCCCTGCTGTGCTGGGCACAGTCAGTTGTATTGCTTCCTTGGGGAAATAGGTCCACCATAGCCCAACCAGTGAAGTTTGGCAGTACCCTCACTCTGCTTTTGCAGTGGAATTGTCTGTCTGATGGTGTGCTCCTTCACTTGTGTGGAACTTTTGGTAATTCTATGCAGACCAGTTCATTCCCATAGCTGTATGTATCAGAATGTGTCAGCATTGGCTGCTGTCACTTGCCATCGTGGGGCACACTCAGTTTTCTTAGGGAGCCAGGCAAGAAGAACATAGGACCTTTTTTGTGGAGTTAGTTGCACTTCTCTATTCAGAGGAGTGCCAGCATTGGTTCTTGAGTGATTTGCATAATATGGGGTGTGGTTAGAGACCCTCTAGAGTCTATGAGACTGAAGCACTGTGCCAACGAGGCACCCAACCCTCTGGAGTTTACATGTAGACTGTGCCTTCGACTCTTGCTAGGAGCCCTAGTGGCATAGTAGATTTTGTGGTGGGCCGACCACAAGGTCTGCAGTTTAGACCTACCAGCCACACTATGGGAGAAAGAAGAGGTGTTCTTCTGCTCCAGAAAACAATTTACAGCCATGGGCAGTTCTATTCTATCCTATAAGGTCACTGTGAATCAGAATCAACTCGATAGCAGTGAATTTGAATTTTTCCCTTCAAGATTTTTGCTGGAACTCTGTTTTTTTCTACCAGCATTTGTATCCATGGGTGTTTTTCACCTTTGAAGGCTTACTGTTAGGGAGATAACCTCAATTCAGGTGGCTTTTTGCCTCTGTTCAAAAGTTATCAATTCTAGGTACCATGGGGTCCAGTGGTAAGAGCAATTAGGCCCACACACATCACAAGCCTGGCAGGGGGAAGACATGTCAACATGGCCTGTGGGCAAACCTGATATAGAAGCCCAGGAGCCCAGCTTTCCTACTCCTTTGGTTGAGAGAATGAAACTTGCTTAAATAAAGAATTAGATCTTTTGTTTCCATGTGTTTCCACCCATGTGGTCAGTGGTTTATATTCTTTAATGCTCTATCGCTTCATAAACCTTGTGTTTGTCTTCTAGCCAAAACTGCCTATAGCCCCTTCCCAGTTGCTTCTACCCCTCCACCCCCTTTTTCTTTTGTAATTACACTGTTACCTGTTGTGTTAGTCTTGGTTGATGAGAGAAACACTTTCATAGACACTGCAATGTGTTAGTCTGGGTAGACTAGAGAAAAAATCCATGGACACTCATGTGTATAAGAAAGAGCTTTATATAGAAGAGTAGTTGGAATATTGAGAAAACATCCCAGCCCAGTCCAGATCAAGTCCATAAGTCTGATATTAGCCCATATGTCTGATACCCATTTATGAAGTCCTCTTCAGACTCACGAAACACATGCAATGATTCTGAGTGCAGGAAGATCACAGGCTAGGGGGTGGGAAGTCTTATGGATCTAGTGGCGGTGTAAGCATCTCAGCACTGGCAGGCAGCTCCTCAAGCTCGGGCCACTAGTGTAGTTCCTTGTGTCTTGTCAGCTGCAATATCTCCCAGGGAGTGAGCCTGTGTCCCTCCTCAAGTGAGCTATTTATTTCCTGGTGCTTCCAAATGAGGTCATCAAGCTGCCACCTGATTGACAACTAAACTTCACCCCTTCATTCTTAATCCTCTCACATTGACAAACAATTTTGTAAATTACCAGACCTGTTAGCCAAGGACTGAACCCAAACGCCCAATGGCTGCAGTGTTCATGCTACCTGCATACACTCCCTATTTGGAAATGCAACCCAAAGCACCAAATACTTTGAAAAACACACAGAATTGACTTTGCTGTGAAGTCCAGAGTTTCAGAAGAGGTTTTCTGGTGGTTTTTTTTTTAACGTCATTAAAACAAAGCTATCCTCAGTCCTCATGAAACCAAGACCCAGTGAGGTTTTGTGACTGTTTACAGGTACTTGGAGCAAAATGCAATTTGCGTGGGGACAGTTTTTGTGTGAGTTTTGTGTGAAAACTCACACATCTACTGCCAAGGAGATCATTCAGCACTTTGAGGGCTGTCCCGTCGACCTCCTTGTGTGTGATGGGGCCCCGGACATAACTGACCTTCAAGATGTGGATGAGTACATGCAGGCCCAACTCCTCCTAGCTGCTCTGAACATTGCTACACATGTTCTGAAACCCGGGGGCTGCTTTGTGTCCAAGATCTTCCGAGGCCGGGATGTGACGCTGCTCTACAGCCAGCTGCGCCTCTTCTTCTTGAAGGTGGTGTGTGTCAAGCCCCGGAGCAGCCGGAACTCCAGCATTGAGCCCTTCGTTGTCTGCCAGGGTCATGACCCTCCTGCGGGCTTCTTACCAGACCTGACCAAACCCTTATTGGATCACACATACGACCCAGATTTCAACCAGCTAGATGGCCCCACCCGCATCATTGTGCCATTCGTGACCTGTGGGGACCTGAGCACCTATGATTCCGACCAAAGTTACCCCCTGGATCTCGACGATGGCTCAGAGTACCAGTACACTCCACCCACGCAGCCTCCCATCTCTCCACCGTACCAAGAGGCCTGCACGCTGACGAAGAAGGGGCAGCTGGCCAAGGAGATTCGCTCCTAAGGGTCCCTATTAGCAGAAGACATGTTGCCCCAACCCATGGCTGCCCCCCCATCCCACCCCCAGCTGGCCTTTAAGGTGGACGACAGTGATAGGAGTTGCCATAGCAACATATACAGCTGGTTGGACTCAGAAGCTGTTCGTTGTCAGAGAGCCAGAATTTGCATTGATGAACTTGGTTTCCATTACTGTCATCGCATCAAGAGGGCCTGAACCTGTAAGCAATCCCAAGTGGAAATAGCAAAGAAATATTGCAAACTAAATAAAAACTTGTTTTTGCACCACAGATGGAATTTTAGAATGAGATCTTGCCTCTTGTCTACATAAACCTTTCTAGATATGTCCTATCATGTCCAGAATTTACCTGTAATGTAGGGGTTCTGAACCAGGATAGAAGTTGAGTATTCATGAACTTGCAGAAGAAAAATATTACATCTTGATCTTCATTTAGAACTGAATTCCATTTCACTCCTAATTATGGATGCTGGCAATAAGTCATAGTAATAAAAGTACTACCTGCAACCTTAAAAAAAATAGTAGACAGTGAGTTTGTGGTGAGCTTCACCACTAGTTTGTGTGTGAGTTTTCACCACTAGTGTGCTCAATTCACATCACTCAAGCCTGCCAGTGCTTATGTGGTATATATGTAGCCCTTTCCTGCTTGGTCTGTTTGAATAAGGAGGCCAGTCAAAGAAAAGGTGACGTGGGTCTATTCACCGTGTCTTATAAGAGCTTGGATTTCCGCACGCAAGCCAATCCTCGTTATTGAAAGCAGAGTAGCTGAAAAGATCATGCCAAATATTTTTAAAGGTGGGCATGGGGTGGGCATAATAATGTCTCCCAAACCTTTTGTACCTGTTATGCTTATTATGCGGTGTAGCTTATCAAATAATACAGGCACTCCGATACATGTGCTAGGATGTAGAAACTTTGGAGGAGATGTGGGACATAAGATATGTGTTATGGCAGGTTTCATCTGTATTTAAGGTAAAAGTAATTTTGGCACACGCTCATCCTGTAGAGTAGCTTCCCTCTGGGAAGTGTTTCTTTGTGCCACCTTCCCTCCGTTTTGTCCTCTGAGTGGGTGGGTGGTCACCCTCAGAAAGTAGGATCACAGTGGCATTTGTCTTTCTCAGAGTCTTGTGGGATGACAGCACTGGACTGGGTGTGTGTGTAAAGCTTTGCAAAGGGTAGGGGCCGTTTTACATTATCCATGACTTCTCTCTATGCCACTAGAGTATTTCGACCTAACCAGTGCCTTCTCTTATATAAATACCTTGTTCTCTGTGCCAGCGATCCATGGTGGCACAGTGAGCTAACCATTGGGATGCTCAGGGCTGGCGATTGGAGCCCACCAACCACCGGACACACCGGGCAATCTGCTTCCATAAAGATTGGCAGCCTCAGAAACCACGTGGGCGGATCTCCTCTGTCTCCCAGGGTGGCTGTGAATCTGAATCTATTCCCCAGCAGTGGGTTTGCTTTTGGTTGGTTCTCTGTTCATGAGTCTTTCCAAGTAGCCCAAGAAGGTATTTTTCTGTGTGCTTACTTAGGTAATAAATACCCTTTATCTGCAGAAAAGATGAAAATATGATTTACAGAAACCTCAAAGTTGTTTAAAGGCATTAACTTGGTGGATTTCTAACTAAAAACTTGCAAACGTTTTGGCAAGTTGAATAGCCATATCAAGCAAGCTTCCTTTTTTTAGCATGTCCCATTTGGGATTTCAGCAGTACATATTATGATATTATGTAACGTGGAGAACACTTCTTTTGTGAATGCTTACTGCTCTTTTAGTTATAATTGTTTACTGTAACAGAGTTGAAATATGGTGAACTGGTTTATACCATTAACATGAAGATGAAAAGCCACAGGCTGTTCACAAGGAGGAATGCTAATGATCTGGTGTGGGATCTAAGTCCTTGTTACTCCAGGAAGCTGCCTGTCTGCTCCCCTAGGCTGGGCCTCACCTCACTGCCCTGTCTGTCCTTAGCATCCCCTAAAGACCAGGTATGTGCATAGCCCAGTGGACACAACCCGTCTGTATGAGGGATCTATTGGGTGGCTTGGGTCTCTTGTCTCCAGTACTGTGTGTGGTGACGTTCCTGTGTGGCACCAATGGTGAAGGACTTGGCTACTAAGAATTTGATGGCTCAGAGGGCAGAGGATGCTTGGGGGCGGGGGTGGGGGGCTCGATCAAGGGCAACATACCCGAAAGGAATGATCACAACCTGAATGAAGGCTAAACATGATAGTGGGGTAGGAGGAAAGTAAAAGGAAATAGAGAAAAGAAGAGTGGGAGGCAAAGGACATTTAGAGAGGTCTAAGTAAGTAAGTCTTTACATGCATATATGTAAATACATTTATATATAATGACAGGGGACTAGATCTATGTACACACACACACACATATATATATAAAGTATTATGGCAGCAGATGGACATTGGGTCTCCACTCAAGTACTCCCTCAATGCAAGAACACTTTGTTCTAATAAGCTGGCACTCTGTGATGTTCACCTTTCCTGACATGATTGCTGAAGACAGAAGCATGCATAAGCAAATGTGGTGAAGAAAGCTGATGGTGCCCAGCGATCAAAAGATAATAGCATATGGGGTCTTAATGGCTTGAAGATAAACAAATGACCATCTATCTGAGAAGCAACAAAGCCCACATGGAGGAAGCACACCAGCCTGTGTGATCATGAGATGTTGATGAAATCAGGTATCTGGCATCAAAGACCCAAAACAAAACAAACAAACACAAAGCTTATCCATGGGAATGAGGGGAAGGGCAGAGTGGAGACCCAAAGCTCATCAGCAGTCAGTTGGACACCCCCTGTCAGAAGAGCCACAAGGAAGAGAAGAGCCAGTCAGGGTGCAGTATAGCACCGATGAAACATACAACCTTCTGCTATTTCTTTAATGCTTACTCCTCCACCCCCACCCCCAACTACCATAACCCCAATTCTATCTTACACATCTGGCTAGACCAGAATATGTATACTAGTCGAGATATGAGCTCCCAACACAGGGAATCCAGAACGGATAAACCCCTCAGGACCAATAAGGGGAGCAGTGATACTAGGAGGGTAAGGGGTTACAGATCACAGTAATTGGCAATATGGCCCCCCTTCCACGGGGACAGACAGCAGAAAAGTGGATGAAGGGAGACAGTGGTCTTGTAAGACATGGAAAAAATAAAGAATAATTTATAAATTATCAAAGGGACATGAGGGAGGGAGGGGGAAAAAACAAGCTGATGCGGGGGGCTCAAGAAAATGTTTTGAAAAAGATGACAAATGTACAGATGTGTTTGACACAATGGATATATTTATAGATTGTGATAAGAGCTGTAAGATGCCCCAATAAAATAAAATTTAAAAATAAAATAAAATAACTTGATGGGTCACACAAGCACCTTCAAAAACAGACTTGGTGATCTGCCTCTTAAAATCAGCCATTCAAAACCCGGTGGAGCACACACAGGGGTGATGTCTGTCAGCGTTGATTCAATAGTCACTGTAATTTTTTTTTGTCTCTGTGATAACATCTTCACCTATAAAAAGGTCCACATGGCTGTTGTAAAGATTAATGAAGACAGTTCATAAAAGGAACTAGCATAGCATAGCAGCCGATGCTGTCAGTGGGTCTGAATCGCTTCCTCCGCCCTGTACTGCGCTCACTGTCCAGATCAATTGCTTGTATTGGCCTTCTCGCTGCGCCCACCGCCTCGCCTCATCTTCAGCCTTGATCTCCCTGAGCTGGCCTTCCTTTAAACAAACTGCATTCCTTTGTGTTTCCAGGTTTTTGCTCCAATCTTTTTACCTGGTCAGCGGCACCCTTGCCCTTTGTCTCTGGCTACTGAAATCCCTCCTGTTGCAGCCCACAAATGGTGGGGAGAGTATCTGGGAGTCTCCGTCAGGTGCTAGGTGACCATCATTGCTGTCCGGTCACTGCTGTTTCTGGGCCTTGTCAATAATCGTGTGCTTACTTGCCCATGCACATGCTTCAGTACATGCACATAGCATAAGATGAAACTGAAAATGTTTACTTACCTCTTTGATCTAATTCTACTGTCTCTTTCACCATGCCAATCCTTGTTCTGAATGACTCCTAGAATCCAGAATGACAGAATCACTCTTTTTCCTTATCCCATAATGCAGACACAGCAGATACTGAAAAATATCACCACCACCTTCGTGACTTTTGTCCTTAGGAATGCCCCAAGAGAGGTAAACAGTTGAATTCTTGTATTTTAATTATCACTTGTTTCTCACTCTGTCATTATGCCACAACTCAGTGCATATTGAAATTGATTTGTCACATTTACTTTGGATGCTTAGGGATTTTTTTATTTAAAAAATTCATTTCAGAGAGTGTTTGAAAAGTTTTAAAATGGGAACAAAGTATAACCAAGTAGTCTCTGCCAGCTCCTCTTTAACAAATACCATTTCAGACAGTCCGGGCTGATTCTCCCCGTTTTCTTTTTGCAATATGCACAGGTGCTGGGGCATGCATGCGTACATGTGTACTCACCAGGAGGCTTCAGGAAGTCCATGGCAGCATGGAATGAAATGATTATGGAGTTTTTCCACAAGTTCTGTAAAGCCTCTTTGTATAGATAAATATATATTTATCCATCTTATAATGTATTAAAAAAACAATAAAACACTGCCATAAAATTAATTCAACTCAGAGCAAACCTATAGGACAGAGTAGAATTGCCCCTTGGTTTTCAAAGCTGTAATCTTTATGGGACTTAAAGTGTCACATTTTTCTCCCACAGAGCCACTGGTGAGTTCAGACCTCTGCCCTTTTGGTTAGCAGCCATTGTGCCGTCCGGGCTCTTCATATAACGTATAGATAGAAAATGTGTACGCACATATGCATATATGTGTACATTGACCTATGTTTTTTATTCCTAAAGGAAAGACAGCCAGTCTGGTTGCACTTTAACAAGCAGACTAACTTTTTTCGCTTGGGGAAGAAGGCTGTAGCAGAAGAGGCAATAGCCCAGTGCGTCTCAACCTTCCTAATGCCACGACCCTTTCATACAGTTCCTCATGTTCTGGTGACCTCCGCAACCATACGGTTATTTTCGTTGCTACTCCATAACTATAATTTTGTTATTGTTATGAATCGGGCGACCCCTGTGAAAGGGTCGTTCGACCCCAGGTTGAGAACTGCTGCTGTGGCCGAAGAGGTTGCATTG